TTTCTACTCACAAAGGGGGGATAGTAAGGGTTGATGACTTTTAGTCAATAACCCTTCGCAAGAAAGGAAGATTCCAATATTTGGCGCCATGTCATAATCACAATAATTTTTTCTGAATTCTGGTTCCCATTTTTAATAGAATGACTTGCAAACTTTCAAATGTATGTTATGATTTTATATTATGAATTTTTAATACGCTCACAAATGTCTCTTTTTAAATAAATTTTAAAGTTAAAAATTATGTTTTCTAGAATTTGATGTACAGCATTTCAGAAGTACTAAGAAAGTAGAATTTAAATGATTTGCATGTCGACTAGAAATCACGAATTAGTAAAAATTATTAAATACATAACTTTTGTTTGCTTCATTCGTAATTTTTTAGTCTATGCAAATTGCTAAAAATAACTTAATCTGAAAAAGAATTCATTGTATCCATTGCTTAACATAATTATGAGATAGATTGATGAAGGATGTGGTGCAATATAGGCTAATATCCCTTAAGAATGAGAAAAATACTATGAAAATATTAATAAAGCATTATATAATAAATATTTGCCTCTTAAAATAAATTCAGAATTTTTTTTAGAAATAATTATTCTAATTTTTGTGCAATGTTTTCATGTTTCTTAAAAATAATAAAGTTCGTTTGTGTTTTGTCCACGTTTTTGGGTCTAGAAGAGTATGACGCGTAAGACATGTAGATTTATCTACACTTAGCCAATCATAATCAAATTAGCCTCACCTCACCTCACCTCCACGCGGTTAGATCTGGTAATCCAAAAATATCTGGAAACTAAGAAGGAAAGCTTGTATGTGTTGTAAAATTTTACAGTAAAAAATATTCAATAAATGATTGATTAAATTGAAATTATAATTAATTTTTTTATGTGTTTATCACGTGTTTGTTTTGAATTTAATGTATAATAAAAAATATACTTTGTCATTATATAAAAACATTATTTTTAAATACGTTGGTTTTTATCTCGAATTGTTTATGATTTAATTTTCCTATCAGATATGTTATTAAATTCATTTAAAATTCTTTTAAACTGAGTTCTTAACTACGTTTGGCACGCCTTAAATATCAGAAACACAACAATATCGATGACGCTAAAGAATAATTTTTAATTTTTTTGTCAATTTCCTAGTTCGTCTAGCAAAAGTGTAGGTGGATGCCCTGCAGTCGCCTAAATCAACATATCCCATGTGCTCACTGTAATCTGCCACAATTTTTTACTTGGAAGTGGTTAATTTTTCTTTTTCGCTCTCAGCAAAGTCACCATCAAATTTTTTTTGGTATACATTTTGTCTATCAACAAAATTTTCTTCATCTGAATCTTTCATCAAATTCTCAATCTCTATTTCTGCGTGAAATTTCAGATTCATTCTAAAAATTCGAAGAAAAAACAAGTGAAAAGAAAATTCTATCGATCATAGACAGCGTAAAGTCATCAAATGGAATATTTTTTCGAATTTGGTTGTTCCTCAAGGTCGCCAATGTTAAGGAATTCGCACACAACTGATAACGTTGGCGAAAAATATCTCCCCCCCCCCCGAATTATGGGCAATAGAAGCAGAGTCGTAAAAAGGGCCAGGAAAAGTTGTAAAAAGATGTGCTGGAAAAAAAAGGGGGAAAGAACTGTCCCTTTATAGCTTGGTACAGACGTTGAACTACAGCCGAAGCGAGAGACAAAAAATTTTTGGTACAGCATATGTACCACCGATGTTTAAAGGTTAATTTGACGTACTTAAGATTTACTCAGAAGCTCTGAAATGTGTACAATTAAATTAAAAATTATTTTTTAAATCTTATTTTTGATAATATTTATTCACAAAACGGCCACGGTAGTCGTGTAGTGATGTCGTAAACTCATAGCCGGGATTGAATCGTGAGTTCGAGTCCTTTTCAATAGAAAACCGGCTGAAAAGCCTGTCTAGGTACTAAGTCCTCATGTTGGTGTGATATGGAAGTTTAGTGAGTGGATGCTGTCCGTCCTCATTGCTTGATCTTCGTTCAAATTTATGAAGTCCGCACCAGTAACGTTCTTATTGTTTCAAGATGTGACGTTATTAAAATGTCAAATCAAAATATTTGAAGTACATTGATTTTTTTGTGCATTAAAAGGGCGTTTATTTAAAAAATACTATGTTTAGTAATAATGCTCTACTTGTTGTTCTTAAAGTTTTCCTTCTTTTATATATTTCGTCGAATAATTTTGAAAACATGAGGTATTATTTTTTATTACATGGGTTCAATGTTGCAGTTAAATATGTAAGTTGCAATAATGAGACCACAGATAAAGTCTGCACAATAAGCTATGCGATTACACACCCATATGAATACAATGTGCATATATATATGTAGGATTTTCCAGCTAATTATTAAGCAATTAATTTTATTTTCCAATTTACTGTAAAACCAGTTCCTCCGATACTCAATAGATGTCACCACGAATCAGAGTCATGTGATAAGCTCATGCATCGCCACCTATCCGAGAACGAAACTGAGTGACACTTCATTTTCGCTCTCTCTTCTCTCTCTTTCCACCACTTTTTCCGCTTTTCTTCTCCTTCGCTACCCGCGTCGGAAGTAAACTTCAAACTCCCGAACGCGTTCCAGCGCCCAGCGCCAATATGGGTTAAATGAGGCAGCCATCTATCCGTCTCGGAAGAACTGTTGACTACCTGTATATGTATCATAGTGTAAATACTTTTCACTCTTCATCATCTCTCTTAATAAACAAGTAACTTTGAATATCATCACAACATTACATGGAATCCGAAATTACCCCCCTAGACAACCAGCCCTTTGCGTAAGAGCAAACCATCGTAGATTCGGGATGAACAATCTCCAACACCCCACTATCTACACACACACACACACACACATATATACATATATTCATTTATTTTTTCTTTCATTTTTACATTTCTTTCTGGATTTTTGTCTTTTTAAATATTTTAAATTATTCTTTCATAAATTTTCAGCATATATATATATATATATATACATATAAGCAAGCACCGAATAAATTATTACATGTTTATGATTGAACTATCACATTCTCAAACAGTATGGTCATGAGAATACAGAAGCTATTAATTTAATATAATTTTAACGTACTTGCTTCTAGAAAATATCTTAGTAAAATGGTATAGCTGTCGCTTTCTTTGTTATTTATTTAGTTTGAAAATGTTAATTTGCACAATACATGACTCTAAGTTATGATAAATATACATTTGAAAGTTTGTAAGTAGCTCAATTAAAAATGGGAACCAGGAATTCAGAAAAAAATTATTGTGACATGATATGGAGCCAAATATTAGGATATTTCTTACTCGCCAGTGATTAATGACTAAAAAACAGCAACCCTTACTATCTCCCCTTTGTAACTAGAAAACTAACCATACCACATGTAGCGAACTCGAACTTCCCATTGGGAGAAAGAAAATATTTCCTCAATCCTTCGAGAGGAATGGATATTTTGACTTAGAATCAGCTGAATTCTAAAGGTAAAGGCAAAACCTTCAGTTAATTCATATATTCTGATGAAAATAATACGTAACACTTTTTTATATCAAATATTTCTATGAAGCTTCAATTTTAAAGGAAAAAAGTATTAATTTTTTTATTTAATATTTTTTTTTGTTTCTAAAAGAAGCTTATATCTTAAATTGGAAGGTTATTGTAGCAATGCTTATGATAAGTCTGTTTTTAAAAATGTAAAGTGAATTCTACTTTTTAAAAGTTTTGGCTCTTAAAAGAGCCTTTTTTCGTTTATTTTTTCCTTTTACTTTTATTGATAATGTATCAGTTTTAATCTTTTTTATTCTAGTCTTTTGTATTTTTATTGGTTTATGTGTTAAGACATTTTTAATTAAATTGTGTGTTATTCTTCGGAACAGTTCAGTTCAATACAAAGAGCCACATTGCATGCCTTAAACATAATGATTGTTCTTTTTTGTATTTTCCTTTTTGCACAATTTGTGCACTTTCTTCTTTTCTTTTCGTCAATTGGCCAATGGGAAAATTTATTATCATTTATCTTCATTTCGTTTATTACTGAAGGCTCTGCATTTTTATGATTTATTTTTCCTATCAGTGATGCTATTAAATTCATTCTAAATTATTTTAAACTGAGTTCTTAACTTCGTTTGACACGCCTTAAATATCAGAAACACAACAATATCGATGATGCTAAATAATAATTTTTTTGTCAATTTCCTAGTTCGTCTAGTCGAAGTGTAGGTGGATGCCCTGCAGTCTCCTAAATCAACATATCCCATGTGCTCACTGTAATCTGCCACAATTTTTTACTTGGAAGTGGTTAATTTTTCTTTTTCGCACTCAGCAAAGTCACCATCAAATTTTGTTTTGGGTGTCTATCAACAAAATTTTCTTCATCTGAATCTTTCCTCAAAATTTCAATCTCTATTTCTGCGTGAAATTTCAGATTCATTCTAAAAATTCGAAGAAAAAACAAGTGAAAGTAAGTTCTATCGATCATAGCGTAAAGTGATCAAATGGAGTATTTTTTCCAATTTGGTTGTTCCTCAAGGCCGCCAATGAAAAGGAATTCGTAAGCAACTTACATCGTAGGCAAAAAATATCCCCAACCAATGATCTTTCCAATGCCATGTAAAATGAAGCCCCACCTCCTTTTCTTCCTCTTATCCCAAGACTTTGGTAAAAGTAATGCCAACGGCACGTGGTGTTCCCAGGTGATCATTCTCCTAAATACTGACCACGCCCCGATGATGCTTAACTTCGATGATTGGACGTAAAGCGGTGTTTTCAGCATTGTATGGATTTAAGTGTAGGAAATGAACTTCGTTACCTATAAGTTCCTTCAGGAAGAGAATAACATGAAAATTCGGCTGCTTATTTTTAAATGAAGCTTCCGGAAAAATTTATTTATTTCATGTGAGCTTGTGTAAAATGTAAAATTATATGCACAAATGCAGCATATATATTTTTGATTTTTACATTACACAAGCCATTTGTAAATAAGAACTAATAAAAAGTGACACACACAATTTATTTGATACAGCCAAAAATGCAAGAAAATTTAAATTTTAAAACAACTGTTTTGAAAATAACTAAGACAAATCATCCAATGGGAAAACAATTGAAATGATTTCCTCGATTTACAAAATAAATATATTAAAGAACGATAATTTATTTATAAAACATCGGAGTGAAATTTCATTGTTAAAGGTGGGAAAGAAATTCCATTGTTAGAACAGCTTTCAAATTCCATTGTTAGACACGGGAATGGAATTCGATTGTTTAACCTAAGATTGAACTGTTGAATTACAGAAACAAAACGACTGATTAAAACTTCAATAAATAAATATTTCATCCTCTTTACTTTTTAATCTCCATGAATTATTCAATACAACATTTAAATTTGCATACTAGAAATTACAATAATAAGGGAGTAGAATAATAATAATGATTTGTTGGAAAAGAAATTTTATAACCTTTTTATGTGGCTAGTAATATATAATTTGTTTGTGATATTTAAATGTAAATAAAAATTACATCTGCTTTTTTTTTTTAAATTGAATTTCACGAGAAATTTGTTTATTAAATGCGAGCTTGTGTAGCATTTAAAAATATGTGCACAAATACAGATTATTTATTTTTTATTGTACGCTTACAAAAGCTGGCTTTAAATAAGACCTAAAAGCTTTAAAAACATAGTTTATTTCATACAGCTAAAAATGCATGAAAATTTAAATTTAAAAAAAAAATGCGAAACAACTTATACCAATTATCTTTAGGGAAAAGAATTCAAATATACAGATTTAGAAAATAAGGATATTATAGAACAATAATTCATTTGCAAAATAACGGATTTAAATTCCATTGTTAACCCTTGAGGGGAAGTATTTAAAAAACATTCAATCTTTGCAAAATTCCATCTGATATGCATTAATAATGTTAAAAGTACACAATATCAAGCAGTAAAATTAATTTTTATTCGTTTCCTGATTTTTAAGATCCGGTATAAATAATATACCACCGCTCTTCTAGAACATCTTATTTGTACACTCGCTGTTTCGTATTCCTTCGAAGAAATAATAAGTACTTCCTTAAAAAAATACATTATTAGAGTCATTTTGGAAAATATTAGGATCACAAAATACTTTTGAAAAAAATTAGAACTTTATAATGTTGCATTTTTATTTCTAGGAGTGATAATTTGAAGGAAAATATGTCAATTAATTTAAGTATAGCCTTTTATACATATGTAATTTTCATAGTATAATGCTAAAATTACATTATAAACTTAATAAGACAATTTTATTTGAAATACATATATGATTGTTTTAATAATAAGTCATATTTTTTACTGCACAGAAGTGAAATTTTCTTATTCACTTGTTTCTGAAGATAACTCCGATCAATCAGAACGGAGCTCTTCAAACAAAGCAAGTTCTTTCTCAATCAAAAGTCCTCGTATAGGCATTCTTTTAAAGATATATTTTAGAATATATATATTTAAAAATTATTTAAAACTAGATTATAAAGCTACTTAAAATAAAATTTGAATTTTTCTGAAACAATTATGAACACTATTATACGAAATCTGAAACAGTCACGAGAAATACGAAAACATCAATTCAAGGAATACTAGATAAAATTAAAGTGCTGTTGGATGTATGTCTTCCGCAAGTGTTCAAAAACCAGCCGTCCACGGTGATTGTTCGGATTCGAAAAATACCCTCCCTAATTTGTGATGAACAGACGTGTCAAAATGAAAGCATCAGCTCTCCTTACTCTGAATTATTTACAGAACGCATACATAATTATTTTTCTTTCCTTTCGATCTCCGCTAAAGCGGTATTCCTTAATCTTTTCAGTTTAGAATCATTCTTTCTTTCAATATTCAAATCTAGTGTTGTAGAGCTGAGTACTCTATTTTTCTTATAAAGCGGGTATCTCTTTGCTGTATTGTACCTTTTGTATACTTTTCTTCAATGATTTAAATCTTAGTTAACTAAGTTACTTTGTCCACTGCTAAAGGCGATGAACCTCTACGGTCGCACCTCAATTGTCGACAGCTTATCGTCTATTTTTATATCATGCTAACACTATATGTCCATTATCGTAAGCAATTCTAATGCCTATCAACGACAATAAACCCATAATCTACTGTGTACGGCCAATTCTATCATGGAAACATTTAAAGACTCTCCCTTTCGTCGGCGTTTGTTCGATTTTTTTTTTTTTGCAATAGTTTTGGTTTTGAGAAATCCTTTTTCCCCCCTGCGCTTTTGTTGTGTTTTCGTGGGCCCGCTTAGCTTGATATTTTTTTATTAGTCACCTAAGGGGCTAATTGTTTTAGGTGAAGCTTTTTGGCGTACTAGAGCACTTTTCAGTTTTTTATCGATTGCTTCATTTTTAACTACATTTATCTTAAATATATTTAATTTAATAACTTATTGTTTTTTCTTTAATTTTAATTGCATATAGCTGATATATATTCTATTTAATAATTTATAGCTTGTTTTAATTTTAATTACATTTATCTTAAATAATATTAAATTTAGTAAATTATTGTTTCCTTTTTTAATATCGGAAAAGTTTATAACTATCGATTTCTCTATATTTTATCACTTGCTTTTAATTCTTATATTTAAATGAGTATTTTAACAATAATTTTAAGAAAAGCGCACCTTATGTGGCTAAACTGTTCTTCGCAAAATTTTGCATAGAACATTTTTTTTCCAATTTTAAATTTCTTTTCTTCGGAGAATAAATCTGATTTTTACCACACTGGCACTCTATAATATATTTACGACCTCTATATTTCATTATAACAAAGTGAACCGGGACATATCAGTCAGATACGAAAATTTTAGTTCAGCCATTTGTTGCTCTCTAACCCTCTGTGTGGATGCCGGTATAAATAATATGCCACTTACTTTAAAGTATGAAAAAAATATTTTATATATTTTGTTTTGAGTAATTTTTGATTTTCAGATAAAGTTTCAAACATGTAGATTTGTTTGCTGATGAAATAAAATTTTTCACTTCAGTTCAGAAACATCTCTGTAAGGGATAAAACAACCACTAATTAGGAACTTTCATTAGATTTAAAGCAATAATTTTTATAATCATTCTACATGGTTGTGCCATCCAATTTAAGTAAATAACACTATAAGCTACCATTTGAAGACAAATGTGCAGAGTAAAAAGGTATTTAACAGAGAATTTTAGGGTGCTAAATGTATGGTATGAAAAATATACCACCGCCCCTGAAAGGGTTAAAGGTCGGAAAAAAATTCCATTCTTAGATCATTTTAGTGATTCCATTGTTAGAATCACATTAAATTCCATTGTTAGACACGGGTTTGAAATTTCATTGTTCGACACGGGATTGGAATTCCATTGTTAAAAAAAAGATTGAAATTTTGAAGTAAAGATACAAAACGAATGAATAAAATTAAAAGGTACAAATATTTCATCCAATACGTTTCATTACGCGAACGAATCATTAGAACATTTATATTTGCATACTAGAAATAATAATATTAAGCGGCTAGTATAATAATACAGATAGTTTTGAAAAGAAATATTAAAACTTATGATTTGCATATAATTTTTCCATGATATTTAAGAGTAAAAAAATACATTACTTTCAAAAACAAGTTTCGAAATTATCTCTCCGATGCAGTGAAAAACGACCCCAATTTTCTTCCCCTTATCCCAAGACTTTGGAAAAAAATAATGCCATCGGCTCGTGGTTTTATAAGATGATCCTTGTCCCATGTTCTGATCACGCCCGATAAAGCTTAACTTCGGTGAATTATATGCAAAAGCCACATAAAAGTTTTACAATATTTCTTTTCAAAACCATCTTTATTATTATTCCACTTTCTTATTATTGTTTTTTTCAGTATGCAAATATAAATGTTGTATTGAATAATTATTTGCTTTTTTTAAAATCTAATTTCCCGAAAAATTTGTTTATTTCTTACGAGCTTTTGTAGCATTTAAAAATATATGCACAAATATAGCATATATATATTTTTTATTCCGCACATTACACAAGCCAACTGTGAATAAGAACTTCTAAAAACTTTACAATTATAATTTTTTTTGATACAGCAAAAAGAGCATGAAAATTTAAATTTTAAAACAACAGTTTTGAAAAATTCTTACACAAATCATCCACAGGGAAAACAATTCAAATGATTCCACAGATTTGCAAAATAAGGATATTAAAGAACACTAATTTATTTATTAAACATCGGATTTTATTTCCATTGTTAAAGGCGGGAAAGAAACTCCATTTCTGGAGCAGCTTTGGATTTCCATTGCTAGACAGGAGATTGGAGTTCCATTGTTAAAACTAAGATTAAACGTTTGAAATACAGAAACAAAACGAATGAATAAAACTGCAATGCATAAATATTTCCTAATCTTTTCGTTTTATTCTAAAAACAATTTTCAATACAAATTATATTTGCGTACAATAAAAACAATAGCATAGAGATAGAATAAAAATAAAGATGGCTTAGAAAAAATATTGTAACCCTTTTACGTAAATTTTAAAATATAATTTGTGTGTGATTATTAAAGGTAAATAAAAATAAATTGATTTTTTTTAAATCAATCTTCCGGAGAAATTTGTTTTTTTCATGTGAGCTTGTGTACCATTTTAAAATATATGCAAAAATACAGCATATATATTTTTTATTCCACAAATTACACAAGCCAGCTGTAAATAAGAAGTTATAAAAACTTTACAAACATAATTTATTTGATACAGCAAAAAAGGCATGAAATTTTAAAT